GTTTGGACTAGATTTTGCAATTAGGAACTATAGTTGCAAAAAAATTGGACTACATTTTGCGATAAGAAATTACTGTTTCTAGTTCATTTCAAAACAACAGAAGAGCCAGTAGTTTCCCTATGCAGATTGGCGATTTTACCAGAAATAGTAGACCCTAATTCTAATTGTAAGATGTAGTCTAATAATTACCGATGAAAATTGTAGGGAAAATTGGAAACCTGCAAAGGAAAACGTGGGTCTCAACCCTCTCTAGCGTGACGTATCGGGGGTGAATATGTATCCCGTCGCGGGAACTAAAGAACAGACCCCTCCGAGGCGCAGGGGGTGGGGAGGAGGAACCTCGCAGGGGGGGTTGAATGTGGGGGGGGGGGCTACGCGCGGCGCTGCGAGCGATTGTATTCGTAGTTGTACTCGCTTTATCATTTTTACCTCCTCACCTACTGACGCTCCGCGATCTGTGTTAGTAGCACTCCCGCGGTTCCCACGCTCTCCGCGAGCCGCGCCAGCGTCGCATCGCGAGCTTCCGCGCTTTCCCGCGGGAAGCGCCACCGATCAGACCCGAGCTTTTCAAAAATTCTCAGAATTGAACCGCGTTAAGCAGAAAGGAACCAAGCCACACCAGCTGTTGCCAAATTCAATTGAGCAACACAATTTTTCACATGTAAGCGGTTGTGCGGATTTTTGTGCAAATTTCAGTGACTTTCTGCATAACACGAAATAAATTCTTTAAAATTTTCAAAGGAATCCGCATAAACGTTCTCTTAAAAAAAATTAAATTTCCCAAATGAATTTGGCAATAGCTGATGTGGTTTGGTTCCTTTTTGCTTAATGCGGTCCAATTATTATTCTATCGCATAAAATATGTTTGAGAGTCGAACGCAACTTTTATTAAGTTGCTCCTCAGGGTTTTTAGCGGTCTGGCAAATCTCCCTGGTAAAAATTGGCGATAGGAGTTGCGTTTCAAAATACCATAGGAGTTCTTATATCCGACTAAAGAAGGCTATTGAAAATCATGTAGCTGGCTGTAGAAAGCGGAGCAAATCATACAGCCGGGCTATACGAAGCTATAAAAAAGTATACAGTCGGGCTATAGTTCCTATCGCCGGGCTTTACACTTTATCGCCATTGGCTATAAAAGGCTAAAAGAAATTTTGTAGAAATTCGCGGGCTTTGGAAATCATTAAGCTTGATACGGAACTATCTTAATATTTACAAAACACACATAACTTTTTTTTTTTTTTGTCAAGCGAAATTTTATTCAGTAAGTACATTTTTACAGAAATATTAATGTGCGTATCTTATTACTAATTTGCTTAGGTGATGACATATAAGTTATATATAGTGATAACATAATGTGTATGATAATAAAAGAGACAAGTAAAGTAAGGAGATAGTTAATAAGATAATAGTATAAGTTTAGGAAAGAGGGTCAAGAGTTTACTTCGCGAGACATGCCGGAATTACCATCTGGTATATCTTCGGCTGGGGGTGGGGGTTGGGTGTTGAGTATAACATTTTCCTTTAAAACATTTTTTTTTTTTTTTTTTTTTTTTTTTTTTTTTTTTTTTTTTNTTTTTTTTTCATCAATCAAAATGAGAATAGTCCATACAGAGTGTGCAAACATTTCAAAATCATGAGTTGAAAAACGCTGACTCCGCGAGATTAAATATTAGAGCCCAACACAAAGCGGAGCGGCGACGCATTGGCGCCTGAAAACCTAACAGGGATACTTCACGCATTGCGCGGCGACGCACTGGCGCCTACAAACCTAACAGGGATACTTCACGCATTGCGCAATGCGTGAAGTATCCCTGTTAGGTTTGTAGGCGCCGCGCCGCAGCGTGCCACGGGACTTGAAGGAACTATTTCACACCAGAGGTATTGCACAGTATCATAAGAAATTGAAGGCGCTCCAACATATTAAGAATGTTAGGCATCCTTCAAGAGTACGGAGCTTTCCTTGCAAAATAAATCAAGATACTACGGCACTAAAAGACAGCGGTAGTCTAAAAACTAACTAAGTCCCAGTATCCGTAATTAGTAACGTTTAGCATAAACTTTATCGTCTGGCTGTTGCTTAATCGCCATCGGCTATAAAAGGCTATATGAAATTGTACAGCCGGCTACAGAAGCTATTGGAAATCTTACAGCCGGCTTTAGGTCTATAGTATTTTAGAACACACATTCAACTGTCAATTTTTACCAGGGCTTGAAAGCGTAAAGGAAAGAATGGGAGGGCAACGAGGAAACCTTGATAAGACCAGTGGACTGAACTTGGGGAGGGAGGCGTTTCGCCAGCGGAGGAGGTCTAGTTTCGAAAATGTTGAACCCCTCGGAACGGAATTTTTTGTTGCTTTCATGGTTAAATATCACATTTCCCCCCTCTTATTTTCGGGAGTCCAAGGGAAAGAAATTTTGTCATTATCATCGAAATAGCACCTAAAATCAAGAGAGGAATTTATGTCTCCCTGTGGAACATTAAAATAAATTTACGAGACATCACGTATTCTAGCAGCACAAATTTTAACATCGGTGATGATTCTATGAGGAATTCCTCGGATTTTCTGGGGGAGGAGGCCGAGCTATATATCGATTGATCTGCTATTTAAACCCATGGGAAAGGGTGGATATATAGGGTGTTTGCAACGAATACCTCAATAATCGATTCTTTGCCAAATAGCTTCAAATGAGGTAATATCGATAATCGATTATTCACGCCTTGCCTCTGGTCGCTTGTTGACAGTCAGCCTGTTTTTAAGAAGTGTGAAAAGTCGAGGAATTTTTTTACAAATCTGGAATTTAAAAAAGAAATAAAAAGAAAGAAAGAAAGAAAAAACTTTACTGAGAAAATGAAATAACCTGAATTATTTTCGTATTTTTTAACTTTTCGCTTCTTAGTCGATTAGATCGAGATCGATAAGTATTACCTAAGGTCGTAGCACGACAGGTCATGAACGGCAAGTTTAAAATTACGCGCCAAGAAACATTAAATATCTCGGTCGGAGTTGATTTCAGTACTTTTCAATGCCCGAATCGTGTTCTACGTGAAATAGTGAAGAAACTAAATTTAGAATACTTAACTTCGCACCTTGTCTAGTGGTCCATTGTACACGGAGAAAAAAACTTCGTGCATGAGGCCCCAGGTTGAGGTCATATGGATCTCTGAAGTTTTGAGGTCCAACTGCCGAAGTTCGGGTCAGACATCTGAATCGCTCGGTATGTACCGGAGTACTTCAGATGTGTGACCCGAACCCTTCGGTATACACCGAAGTACTTCAGAAGTCTAACCCGAACTTCGGCAGTCGGACCTCAAGTTTTCGGATGCGTGATCCAAAAACTTGAGAGATCCATATGATCTCAACTTCGGGTCCCACGCAGGAAGTTTTTTTCTCCGTGTACATGTAGCACCAAATGCCGTTGAGTTTGTAGGTATGCATGTCTCGCACCCGTCCAACCATAATGTCGCGTCCTTGAATGGAGATGTTGCACGTGTGAGGAATTAGCGATTTGACTGTTGATTCTTATGTAAAAGTTCGCGAGAAAAACGATGGTGCCACTGGTTTTCTCTGAAATCAACTCGCAAGCTTAAAAAAAGCTCTCAAGATGAGGCCAAAATGGAGGGAGTATCTCACGCTATTCTGAGAGTCTACCTCTGCATCAAAACAAACTCTCTATACGAAGTTAGGGAGCTAATACATTGACAGGGCTGCCACTTTATTTGGGGACTACAAAACTGAAAACACAGCATCACTGCTGATGTATTTGCTCCCTATCTTTGCATGGAGAGTTTGTCTTGATGTAGAGGTGGACTCTCAGAATAGCGTGGGATATCCCCTCCATTTTGGCCTCAACTTGAGAGCTTTTTTTGAGCTTGGGAGTTGATTCCAGAGAAAACCAGTGGGACCATCGTGTTTCTCGCGAACTTTTACATAAGAATCAACAGTCAAATCGCAAATTCCTCACACATGCAACATCTCCATTTCCTAGCAGTGCATGCAATCCAGGTTGCCTACCCATCGTCTCACGGGCGAACTCGCTGAAGCAAGAACTCTGGCCGTGGAAGCCATATATCGTCACCTTCCAGGCAAAGTATCACAAGCGCCATGCGACGTTTAAAAATTTCCGCCGCCATTATATTTTTTTACAGAGAAATCGTTCAACGAAGCTGTCCGAAAATTTCACTGAATTTTCTTTGTGCTGCCGATAAAATTTAGTGAAATTTCCAAACAGATTCAACCGACAATTTCTCAGTAAAAAAATATAATGGCGGCGGAAATGTTTAAACGTCGCATGGCGCTTTTGATACTTCGCCTGGAAGGTGACGATATATGGGCCGTATGTGCAGACTTACCGTCCGTGTTCCGGGCTCAGAGGCCGAAAGTTCCTTGCGCAGCACCCGGAGCAATCGAAGCTACGGCTTGAGCACCCGGAACTTTCGGTCTCTGAGCTTGGAACAGACGCTACGTCTATGTCTGTCTATGTAGCCGGTAAATTTTTTTTTTCAGTGCTGTCTAGATTTTCTTAGAGAACCTGTATAGGGAGAGTATCGACAGATCGGAAACTCCGAAAGTCCACCAGGCGACCAGACCTTCACCGATGTCTCCGCGAATAGAGTTAGGGCCCAAAAGGGCAGCCAACCTATGAATTTCAATTATCCAGAGCGATTTACTGATACTATTGTTACGAACCGTCCTTTATTAAGCACGTGTTTGACTCAGTTTTTGCATAAATTTACTCAATTTCGCGGAAGAACGCTCATTACTGTACATTCTTCGCCATCTTGGTTAGAATTGGAACCTGCAGACTGGCAGTGAAATTTTGTGCGTTAGAAGTTGGTTAGAAGGGTGGCTGCACTTTTGGGCCCTAGGCCCTTCATGAACCGATCCGTCGGTACTCTCTCTATACAGGTACTCTAGATTTTCTTGAATGTGTTTACGGCTTTTCTCGTTGACTTTTTTTTCTGCAAGTGCTGATTGGTTGATTGGTTGGTGTGTTGGCAGGCGGCGCTGAACAACCTGGAGGAGATGCAAGGCGGAGGCGTGACGGGGCCGGCGTACCGGGAGCGGGGGCGGAGCATGGGGGTGGGGGTGGGGCCGATGCGGGCCTCGCGGCCGGCCGAGCGGCGGACGGACACCTCGCCGTACTCGAGCGGGCCCTTCCTGTCGCCGCCCTCGCAGGACGGCTGGCGGCGCACCAACTCGGACTCGGCCCTCCACCAGAGCACCCAGATGAACGACGCACACTCCCACCACAGCCCCGGCTCCCAGAGGAGAGGTCAGTATCACAGAATACAGTATCAAACATCCGAGTAAGCATAGGCCGAGTCAGCAGGGTGTCTAGCATCAGAAAAAACCGGAAAATATCAGGAATACTGGCCGATCAGGAAAATCGGAAGAATCGGACGTTTTATCAGGAATTTTTCTTACGAAATTCTCCTCAGCGGAGAAAGTCTTAATGCTTTTTGCCTACCGTGCCAGAAGTCGAGAAAAATCAGTAAAATGTCATGAATTTTCAAAATGAAAAAATTAGGAATTTTTTATAAAATACCCGGAAAATGTCAGAATTTTTCAAAATTAAAAAAACACTAGACACCCTGGCCAGGGACTTTTCGGGGGGTAGAATCATAGAGCAAAAAAAGGAGGTGTTTACATCTTGAGGTTTGTTTACCCTGTGACGTAGGTCGGTACAACCTGGCCAGCGAAATCCGGAATTCGAAGAATGAAAAACGGACCATAATGTCCCATTTTTTTTGCTTAAATCAACTCATGATATAATTTCAAGCACTTTTTATAGAATGACTTTTTTCCTTAAATTACACCATTTCCAAGAAAATCGATGATAAACGTCGCTGTACCGACCTACGTCATCAAAAAAATTCCAAGATGCCCGAAATGCAAACATGACATTTTTCTCTCTATGGGGTAGAGCGACACCTCAGAATCAGGGTCTGAGCATATAAGGTGTCTACAAGTCCGGAAATAGCACTGATTTTTCAAGGACGGTCCGGAAGTACCGAAAAAGTGCGGAAATTCCGCAAGAAGGTCCGGATTTTTTTTTCATTTTTCGTCATTTTGGTCGCAATTTGAGCGAGAAATGCAAATGTTAGACATTTTTCGAATTTCGTCAATTGGCGGTACTGAAAAAGTACTGAATTTTTCTGTTGATGAGGTGCTGAAATTCTTAGGTATGTGCTGAAAAAGCACTGTAAAAGTACTGATTTTCGGGCAGCCGTTTTAGTAGACACCCTGGCATAGCAGGGTTGCTACAGTCAGGGAAAACCGGGAAACGTTAGGGGATTTTAAAAAGTCTGGGAAAACAGGGAAATGTCAGGGAAAATGTGTAAAATCACCTTTATTTGTTTTCTAGTATAGGTTTGAGGTTTCGAACTACAAATTTTGCCTGAAAACTATTTTCAATTACTCGAATGTCTTTTTTACCACCTGCCATATCTTCAACTGTCAGGGAATTTCACTAGAATGTGTCTGGGAAATCAGGGAAATGTCAGGGAATTTCACTTTCCAAATTCGGTGGCAACCATGGTATAGACCACTACACATCAGCAGAACCAGGAAATTTGTATGGGTGTCCGAAAGGACACCTCATCTAGAAAGATAGGCTTTACTATATTCCTTCCCTCAGCGGACACTAAGCGCACAATAAACTATTCCAACTCCGGTATAGTCATGTTGTTTGACTCAAAAATGAAGGAAAATCTTAGCTTTTCCAGGGTGTCTACCGGTCCCCCAAGTCCCCAATTATGCTCGATTTTGGAATGGTTCCCCCGATTTCCCCGAAAGTCCCCAATTTTCTTGTTCAGGTCCCCAAAAAATGACAAAAATCGTCCTAACCACCCGCATTTTCAAATTTTCCCGCCAGCCGCGGCGGCGGCGCGGTATAACCAGGAATGAAAAAACCGAAGTGTTGATTGGTTTTTCGTATGTTTTCATCGGTTCAACATGACTTTTAAAATTAGTCGTATAAAATACGCCTTCTAACGCTCTAAGTAGCTCCCTTTCTCTTACTATTTCCGTAAGGGAAGTCCCCGATTTTCTTGAAAAAACGCCCCTAAAAGTCCCCGAAAGTCCCCAGTTCTGGGTTCTCATAACTAGTAGACACCCTGTTTTCGCCCGTTGCACACAGGTTGGAAATCGTGTACACCGCGGCACAATGAATCGAGTCAGTGGGAGAGGTCGGACGAACTTTGGAAACTTTAAAACTCGGTTTATACACAATTTTTGGGCTCTAAAAGTGACGCCATTGGTTTCCTCGTAAAATTTTTATCTAGAAGCACCCCTTGAAATTTAAAATGTGACAAAATAAACATCAAAATGTGCAGTTTTAGTCAAAAATGTCGTGCCTGACCTCTCTTATTGACTCGATCCACTGTGCGCGGGCGGTAAGTCTGACATGAAGGAATTACTCGAGAAAATATTCAACCATTGAAGAACACGCACCGCGAGGCGCAGTGCGTGAAGTATTCCGTAAGTCTTGTAGGCGCTAATACGTTTCACATTGACCGAGTGATCGCACTGTGTCTGGCGTAATGCATGAAGTATTCCTACAATCATGTAGGCGCTAACAATGCTGACGCTGACATGCGTTCCACGCCAACCTTCCCGTATTTGGCGCAATGCGTGAAGTATTCCCACTGTCTTGTAGGCGCCGTTGGTACGCGTTTCACGCCTACCGCATTGTAGCAGTCATGCGGTATCACGCGCAAATGAAGAAGAAAAAAAAAAAAAAATCTTGGTTTTTCGCCTGTTTCAAATTACTGACGAATGAATGTTGCGATATTCACAGGAAAATGCGTAATTACTTCGTTTTTCAACACTGCTGGATAAGTCGCGTATTACCTGTGATATTGAGGTGATGTACGCGTAATTTCTGACGTTTATACAAAATCGCTTGAAAAGTGACGTATTTATTGTGGTACACAGGTGAAATACGCGTCATTTTCTATGTCCTCACAAAATCGCTGGAAAAACCACGTATTTGCCGCGATATTGAGATGATAAACGCGTAATTTCTCAGCCTTTTGCAAAACCGTCGGAAAAACCGCGTATCAGCCTTTTGCAAAACCGTCGGAAAAACCGCGTATTTGCCGCGATACTGAGATGAAAATCGCGCATATTTTTTCATTTTTCAGAAAACTAGTGGATAAACCGCGTTTTTGTTTAATGCTCATGGAAATTTGCATAAATATGTTTTACGAATCAACACTGGTCAATACACACCAAGCGTGCAAGTATTCAAACCCCGAAGTAGTCTTGCGGTCAATAGTTAACCCATGTAAAGGAAAAAATTTACTCTTAATTTTCTCTCACTTTTTTATTCATTCGATCATTTTTATTTTTACACAGCAACAGACGGACAACAGTACGAGATCAGCAGGCACAATAGACATTTGTCAGTTTCACCAGATGGGAGGCCTAGGTCATGTTACGATGTGGCTCGTGTCCCCGGAATTAAGTGAGTAATATTCTTCTCATTTTAATTGCAACACTTTGTGCACAAAGACATACGTATTAAATCATGACATGAAATCATTGAGAAAAGAACACTTGTATCAGTGAACCATTGAAACTGATCTGGATGCTGGAAGACCAATCCAAAAATTAGAGAAATCCTTAGGAAAGTCTTGAGCAAATTCTGTATGTCGATAATTTTTAATATGTCTCAATTAAAAAACGGCACTGGTAGTCTCACGACTGAGGAGCCACTGGTAGTCTCACGACTGAGGAGCAACTGTAGATCTTTTATTTTATATTAAAAAAAGATTCGATCATCAATGACTGAACAGTCAGTAAATTAATAAATTTATTATTTAGCTACCGGAGTCGCATTTTCAATTTTTTGCTGTTGGTATTCATTTTAACAGCATCCTTGACTGATTGCACCATAGAGAGTTCCAATTTTATTTCCTTTGCAAGTCGGAAGATTCGTTTAACAAGGAGAATTTAAAATTTAACAAGGTGGAGGAATGGTGCTGGGTCCACACCATTTTGCGGGGAAATCAAAGCCAAGAAGTTCCAAAAATTATAATCAGAGTCAAAAATAAATTTGTTTAACTCTAATGAGTACCAGTACAAAACTGAGGGGGGAGAGTGTTCAGCTCAGGCAGTTTGCATCGGAATATTAAGTTGGAGTCACGCCGAGAGATTTACTGGTTTGGGTCTTTTTATACCTCATCAGCAGATCACACTCGTCACTGAAGATAAATCACCTTTCTCCTCATTTTTCTCCTCTCTCTCCTCCTTCATTTTCCTTACCTTCTTTTCTTCTCTCTTTTTTTCTGCTCCTCTCTCTCTATTACTTTATCTTTCTCTTCCTCCTCTTCTCCAACAGATTAAATCTCGATCAATTGATAAATTATTTCTACGCAAAATCAATGGCAAATCTTCGGTCGCTCGTCACTACAAAACTTCTAAATTTATATATGAGAAAGGAGCATTTTAGCCCCAAAATCAAAACAGTATTGATTAAAAAGCTAAGATGCTCTAATTCATGTGTTCTGATATTTTATTTGTTAATCAACTGTGTTTTTTCTAGGCATATAATTATTTGTCTCCTGAAATATATTATAGAAATCAATAAGATGAATGAATATTATAGAAATCGTGAGAATGGTCAAAAACTATAAGTCAAAGATGTATTCATCTGAAAAAGGTGCTACCAGGGGTCATGAAACATCAAATAGACTGAAGTATCGACCCCTGTGTATTACTACCAAAACTAGCACCAATTTTGTCGGCGTTTAGCCGAGGGTAAAACCCTCGTTTCCACCGTCCACCACGAGGAGGAACCGACATCAGACGGCAACGCTTCCATCGTCCAACTTACAACTCCCATGGCATTACGTTAATTTGAAATTCAAAATTTTGAGGAAATTTTGAAGAAATTGAGAAGAAATTTTAAAAGACAAAGGCATGGGGCTCATGCCTTTGGTACACTCGAGATCGGATACCCTATAGCCGGTCCGGACCGACCAGTTTCCTCCTTAAGATCTCTTCTCCGTTCTGCTTTTTTCACACGGAATCCCGCGCGAACGAAGCACAACGGATCTACTCAGTTCCTACGAGATCAGAGGTTTAGTCGAGTGGGATTTAGTAAGGATAACCAGTGACCTCTTCAAGATCTCATGCCATGAAGAGTTGGGTCGGCGTTCTGGGCGCACCCTCACTCACAACAGTGAACAATTCGCCAATGACCGAATGCAGGGAACTCCTCTACCACCGTGCGATCCAGCAGTGAGACAACAAACTCGTAGCTGGATACTCTCTACAGAGATAGAGATTGCTGAAACTTTGTCCGGCTTGTTCGGCCCAGGAGAACAGAATACCCTGAGCCACGAGACCCCGGGACTCTCGTGAAGTATTCGGCTCGTCCTGCATCAAAACCTACTTCAATCTGCAACATCGCCTCAACCACCAGCCCGTTTGAGAGGTGTCCGACCCTCCGGTTCCGACTTTGCCTGGTCTAAAGTGTCCCGGGGGGGATGACGGCTTTAGACTTAATGCGCAAGCATCGGCAGATACCGGAGGTTGACCAGTACAGGATTGCCAGGCTTCGATCGGTCACCCCTGCATTTGGTCACTGACGAATCGCGCAAAGTCGGTCACAGATCGGGATTTTCAGACCACTGTGTACCGGTTGATCCTTGCACCTCGCGGTTCAAGGATATGGCCTAACTACTATCAGTGGTCCTCTGAAGATCATCGTTCCCCTCATGTTCCTAAGGTTCCGCTTGATCTCTTCCGTAAGCCAGGGATATGGGCTAACAACCAAAGTAATAACGTACCAAGGTTCCGCTTGATCCAAGGCTGCAATGGATATGGCCTAACATCCAAGGTGTAAACAGCCCTGCTGCGCGCGAAGCAGGGCACCGAGGAAGTGGTTGATCCATGCCCGAGCGTATTAGGGATATGGGCTAACAACCAAGGTAATAACGTACCAAGGATGCGCTTGATCCTAAATTGCTCGTTACGATGTGTGAAGAGATATGGGCTAACAACCAGAGGCGAGGGAGGGTGCAGAATCACAACAGTTTGCCGGCGTTTGGCACGGGTCAGAGACCCGCTCCAGGTCCACCACGAGGAGGCTCCGGCACCAGACCCTTTTTTCTCTCTTCTCACGTTTTCTCTCGCTTTTCCTCTCGATTTTCTTCTCACTTTTCTTCTCGCTTTTCCTCTTGCTTTCTCTTTAGAGGTGTTAATGGCCTTAGATGCTAAAGCACCGCTTTAAAATAAAATTATTTTACTACTACTACCTTCTCGCTTTCTTTCTCGCTTTCTTTCTCGCTTTCCTTCTCGCTTTTCCTCTCGATTTTCTTCTCACGTTTCTTCTCGCTTTTCCTCTTGCTTTTCTTCTCGCTTTCCTTCTCGCTTTCCTTCTCAATTTCCTTCTCGCTTTCCTTCTCAATTTCCATCTCGCTTTCCCTCTCACTGTTTTACTGTGTGCTTTCACTATTTTATTCTCTTTTATGTTCTCTCTATTCTTCTCTTCTTCTTCTCCCATGTCTCTTCTTTTCTCTCCCATGTCTCTTCTTTTCTCTCCTCTCTTCTCTCTTTTCTTCCTGTTCTTTCTCTTATCTTCTTCCTCCTCTTTCTATTCTTCTCCCTCTCCTCAAACTTTGATTTTACCCTATACGAAGAGGTACTTTCACGAATGAGCCGTAAATAGTAGTTTTTTTTTTATCGTATAATATAGTCTATTTGATCCCCAGGGAATCTAGTAGCCAGTAATAGACTTCTGACAGTGCTTCAGAAGACAAACGCATACTCCGTCACCGAGACAGAGAATTGACGAAGGAAGTGATTCGGTCACTTCATTCGAAGTTACGAAAAGTCTCAAAATGGTGAGCAGTAGAAAAATGTTGAACATCTTATTTATAATCAAGAATCTCATTCCTGGACAAAAGTCCTGAGGACAGAAGAACTCGCGATCCCAGTGGCGTGGCGTGAATTGCGATATATCGATTGTTATGCCATTTAAATCCATGGTAAAAAATCGATTTTAAGGTGTTCGCTACGAACACCCTGTTTATCGATCCTTTTCCATAGGTTTAAATGGACGATAAACCGATATATCGCAAAGCACGCCACGCCACTGCACGAGCCGTCCATTTTTCATCATTTATTCCGGTAGAAATAACGTTGAATCAATAAGAAACTCAATGAAACACATCTACACCGAAACACACTCGTTCATCATATGTATGAACTGATATTAGTCAAAATTAATCATTTATTGTCTCAAACTGTGCTTTTTGCTAAGTCCTGACGACGGCTGAGGCCGAAAAGCTTCGACTATTAAGTTCCTGAATTTCAAGTTAACGTGAGCTAACAGTTTATTTTAACCCATAGCACTGGCTACCCAACAAACCAAAAATTACACAAAAACTACTACCATAATGTTGTAAATCAACACTTTCAATACAAATTATCATTGAAAGAGCAAAATTGACCAAGACAGATTCTAAATATTAGTCGTAAAACAGTAACCTCAGGCGGAATTTTTTTCGTTTTGCAAAACAACCTCTAGTATAGCAATAATGAAAGTTTTGGTGGTTCACTTGCCTCGGCACAGTAAAACTAAACTTAAGAGAGCTCATCGTTTCCCGCGTGAAAGAACGTAACTTCATTTCAATGTTGCCAAATGTCCCCTCGCAAATTGCATATTAAGTAGGAGGATCTTGAACTTTCCTAACTGAAAATTTCATTGATATTTTTCCCCGAGATTTCATGCAAAATTAAAATAAAAATTACACAGGCACATTTTCATTAATTTGTTTTACAAAGGCGTGCCTGAAAATTGCGCAGGCATAACTTTGTAAAATAAATTAATTGGTCGAGTCAATTTGGTGACCTTGGAATGGAGTTACATTCATTCGTACGGGAGACAAGTTTTACATTTAAACGTCTGGTCAGTTCTACTTATATGTGACAGACGAGGGTTAAATGGACTACATTTTGAAATTAGGAACTAAAATTTCTGGCTCATCCTTAAAAACACGTTTGTGCATCGGGAAACTAATGGCTCATAAGTTATTTCTAAACTGAGTCAGAAATTATAGTTCCCAATTGCAAAATGTGGTCCAAATGAGTCTGGAGGCTATTGGAGCGGAGGAAAACTTATTATTCATGTGGAAGCTACCTTTCATAACAATACGCCGGGCCCCTTTTACTAGTGACCAGATCTGTAAGAGGAGACCTATCTTTCTGAGGATAAAATTCCTTTACTCAGGAAATTTGATCCTAAATCTCAAAAACTGTCGTGAAGCTTGAAGACAAAAATTCCTAGGTTGTAGAAAAATGTTGTTCATGTGTTCGCAAAAAGTTAGTAACAATTTTCTCCCGGAGGAGAGGCTCTTTTTACACAGATCTACACACAAATGGACTGCATTTTGCAATTGAGCACTAAAATTTGTGTCTTAAGTTTAGAAACAACGTAAGTACTCATAGTATCATATG